ACTAACCCGTTGCAAACTTCCCAAGATTGCCCTACTATCATTACTATTGTTTCGGCCTCTGGCCTAAACACATCTTACTCATAATAAACCGACCAGACCCCCCCATGCTTCCCCTCTCTTGAGCGATAGGTGTGGGTGGGCGGGAAAATCGATCAAATCCTAGGCGGCACTCCGTGTTTCTGCTCCTCAAAGCTGCTGTCTCTGCGACTCCTCTCCTTCTCTCAAATGCACTTGCTTGTCTCTCGCCCAGCGAGAGCACAAAAACTTTCTGACACCAGGGCTGTCTCTATTTATCTTCGATCCCCGCTTTTCCGAATTCCAACACGCCTCCACAAACCACAGATTCCAATGCGTACTGAATCTTCTCGTTTATGTTTGCTCAAGAATTCTGGATTATTTTTTCTGCAGGCAACCAAAGAAAAACCAAGACACATGAAACAAATTGGGAGCGCAGGTAAAATGCCGTCTTGCTCACAACGTTTACTTATCGGACTAACCCGTTGCAAACTTCCCAAGATTGCCCTACTATCATTACTATTGTTTCGGCCTCTGGCCTAAACACATCTTACTCATAATAAACCGACCAGACCCCCCCATGCTTCCCCCTCTCTTCAGCGATAGGTGTGGGTGGGCGGGAAAATCGATCGAATCCTAGGCGGCACTCCGTGTTTGCTGCTCCTCAAAGCTGCTATCTCTGCTACTCCTCTCCTTCTCTCAAATGCACTTGTTTGTCTCTCGCCCAGCGAGTGCACAAAAACTTTCTGACACCAGGGCTGTCTCTATTTATCTTCGNTTTATGTTTGCTCAAGAATTCTGGAATATTTTTTCTGCAGGCAACCAAAGAAAAACCAAGACACATGAAACAAATTGAGAGAGCAGGTAAAATGCCGTCTTGCTCCCAACATTTTCTTATCGGACTAACCCGTTGCAAACTTCCCCAGATTGCCCTACCATCATTACCATTGTTTCGGCCTCTGGCCTAAACACATCTTACTCCATTGAGCATGTCCAATGACCTACTCCTCCGAACCNTCAACGGCGCATGACTCCCAAGCTCGGGGTGCAGATCTAACAGATCGAGTAACACCTTCAACGCTTCTCCCGATCTAGTGACGGTTGCTCCCAAACGTTTTTGATCTGCTTTTGACGCTCTGAACGTGACTTCCACTCGGCTAGCCTGCCTCCGGTCTGCCCATGCAACCCTTACCGGACCGCAAAAGAAACCCAGGTCTCCTCTTGTTAGACAAAAATACGAGTGCACGAGCCCTGAGTCGTCCGCCCAGATTTCTGAAGCTCGGCACATCAGCAAGTACGATAGGGCAAGTCCGCACCAGATCAACTTCCCTGATTCTCCCGAATTTTCGACCACGCACTTTCCAGCCTCTAGCATGTTCCATGTGAGTGGATTCCTAACCTTAGGCTTCGTCTGCGTATTGGCGTGGACCCTATCAATGGTCTTCAGCATGGCAAGGATCTGGAAATGCGCAGTGGGCAACTCCAAACCTGCGTGCATCTTATGGAAGTACTTGATGGCTGAGAGATACCCACGGATAGTCTGACTCTGATTCTTGTGACCGAAACACCGGCAAGCCATGAACACCGACAACTCACGCACCGCACTTTCCACCCCATCGCACTCGCAGAGCCACGGGCCCGAACCCGCCCCTGCACTAGCCTCCTTCCACGTGTTCCACATCCTTTGATACACCTCGTTGGTACCACTTCCCAAAGACCCGAAGGTGAGTGCGTTGGCCAACCGCTCCCCCTCGAAGCTCGTGCCTCCCCGGCCATCCTTTCCCTGTGTTCCTGATATACAATCATCGGGTATACACAGCGTGGGGACTGAGCACATTTCGAGGTTCCTTTCTAAGGTACGACAAGTTCTTGCCGAACCCATGGATAGCCCCGACTTGGCTTGAGGAGAAAAACAGGAAAACTTGGTCGTCCAAACCAACTCTGCCTCCCCCGGCTATCCATTTCATCAAGGCGTCATGAAACAGTGAATGCGAGGCATGTCCACCGCTCCAGCTTCTCGCTATCTCATTTCGTTTGATAATTCGTTGATCGTCCGGAGCACAGAGCGGTGTCCAACCGCCCCCTCTGCCGTGTCAGATATTTGCTGTTCCTTGGACCATAATGTCCCGAACCGAGTCGTCCAGACTCTCTTTTGGCAATTTCTTTTGTAGGATAATGCTGAGCAGCGCTCGTCCCCCTTCTCCAATATCCTGCTGTGTCCACCCTGAGTCTTTTGTGAGCATTTTTACATTTGGCGGCGATCTCGTTTTCTTCCCAACGTGAGATCCCGTCCGCGAGTGTGTTCTTTCGACCAGGGATGTGCTTGGCCACGTGGCACCAGCCGCAAGAAATTTCCATCCTACCCATGAGTCTCACTATGAGGCTAGCGCGCCTGTCCCGCGATCCTCCACACCTGTTAGTCCAACTGACGGCCGACACGTTGTCTCCACGCATCAACACCGACTGTCCTTCTTCTATAGGTCTGTCTTTCAAGATCATTTGTACTACCCACGCCGTCATGAACATGCCCGCGAGTTCTAACAGATTGATCGTAAGGTCTGCCGTCTCCTTCTCTTGCGCCTTGCACTTGAGCTCCGCAGACAACGATGATTCAATCGTATATCTCCAGAAAGTCTTTAGTTCGGGACAGTAGCCGCCAATCGCTGTGAAGCTAGCGTCTGAGAGGTAAAGGCGTGAAGGTGCTCGTTTTTCGTGGAGTTGGAACGATGCACTGAGGGACCCCCCTCGAAGTGCCAGTGGCTGATTGAGGGCCCACTTCCAGAAGGCGATATCGCCGTGGAACTCTCTACCCAAGTCCACTAGTCGTCGTGACCGTGTGTGTCGACTGGCTTGCGTATGCAGACCCGATAGGCGGAGCAGT